TGCTAAATGTTTATTTCTGCCACATCTGTCTTAGCTCAGTAAATGTTTTTGAACTTACCAGGACACTGACTTGGAGAACTCCCTTTAAAACTAGTAGGAATTGTATGAACAAATCCCTTAACTTAGCTTTCAGACCTCTACCCATGAGTTAAAAGAAAAATTAGGTTGCAAATCTTGCAAGATTTCAAGGAATCTGGAATGTCACTTTACATCTACCTTTAATGTGTGCAGCAATGCATTTCGGTTATCACCCAGAATCCAGGAGGCAAGAATGTGAGAAATAGGCAAGTTCTAAGGAATTTTTAAAAATCATTAGCAGCTGAGCATGGAGATTTGAATGGGTTCAGAGGTTTGTGAAGATTTCTTCCATCTCAATTGTCAACTGCTTGCTCGTGCTGAGCGTACTGATGAGGAAATCCTCAGAGCATGCAGCAGCAGCCCACTGCAGGGACAAACATCATTGGGAATGTTCCAAAAAAAACTTTGATGCCTGAAGAGTTCTTACCTTTCCACAAGTTCCTTAACATAAAAGGAAATTAATGTGACAGGTTCTGGTAAGCAGAGACAATGTCATTCTTCTGTATTACCTCACCCAAGAACACCCATTTTCCCATTTTTCAGCTGACTGAAGACCAGCTTTTTCTAGTACAGCTGTTTCCTCCTACAGGAACACTCATTTCCACGGCTGCTCTAACACTTAGAAGACAACACTAATCACTGCAAGTACTACAGGCCTATATACCCCATCACACACACACACAAAACACTGCTCATTTCTACCATGAATTTCCAGTTTTAAGGGAAGCAGACAGATCAATCTTCACAAAGTCTTGAACACAGCTCTCATAGCATGTTCTTCCATAAGAGCTGGGCCAATACAAATGTTATTAAAAGCAAAGGGAAGGGGTTGGATTACCAATGGAATCATGTAAGTTATGAAAACCATACAAACAAATGTCAGTTTCGAAAAAAAATACTAACTGTCCTCTGTGTAGGCAAAAAAGCAACAACTAACATATTCCTTGATGAAAAACACTCCTTGCAAGCCTGAAAGCAAGCCTAAACTGAAAATACAGGATTAAGCACTTCACCTTGTTTTGTTGGGAGTTTCACTGAGCACAACAGGAATATTCCTGTGTGCTTTTTGCAAGGGTGTTTACAGGACAAGACTGAATTGCTGAGCCATTATTTTACTTGTGGCTCAGGAATCATTCCAAAGCAAGCATAAGAGAGAATACAGCAACATATATTTTCAAAATTAATCAAATGCATAATAAATTTTAAGCCATGAAATTTTGAATTTCAAAAATTCAAAAGTTCAGCTCAAGCCCTTCAGTCAATCATCAAGATTAATTACTGCCTTGCTACTAGTCAGCAGTGACAGACAAGTAACTTCAAAGTCACTATCACACAGCTCAAGAGCTAAATACTTCTTCCAAAAGTAAATATTTCCAGAATGAAAACAAAATCCTGCATATTGCTGATAGTACAAATAAGCAAAAAATACAGGAAGTCCATGGTTTTCTGTACTAAATACAACATTTTTCTGTAAAGGGACATGTTTGTTCATATGTGAGAAAGGAGAATTAAAGTAGAGGTCCCTTACCTTTATTTCCACTAGGTACCACATGGTGGTAGCCAATCCAGTGTACACAACAAAATGGGATCCAACAAATCTTATCTACTAAAGTGAATGTTCTGGAACCTCACATTGATTCTCATACCTCAGGAGCCAAGATTATTTTTATCTTCTAAACAAAAAAATATTCCATGCTTATGAGTGTGCACAACATTTAAGACTGTGTCTCCTCATCTTTTAAATTCTTGATTAAAAACTACCTCTTGAACTTTTCCATAATACTTCTTGCCATGTAGTTTAACAATTTCTCTTGTGTCAATGCCAATAAGGCAGTATTTGATATGTCTTCCCCCAAAAGCAAGCCAATCACAAAAAAAATATCATATTTAGAAGATGCATGTGTTCATGACGTTTTATTTTCTCTTCACGTGTGAGAAATTCGGAAATTTGAACCATCCACTACAAGAAAAGAAGCAACCTCTAACAACAAGAATTTAACCTACCCAAAATCCTCTTCAAGGGTCTCCAGAGAACCAGGACAACCCAGCATTTCATGGCACAGACTCCAAACCACTGAAGCAAGCGCAAGGTAGATCGGAAGAGTTAAATAAAGCAGCTAAAATTCAGCAGCATGGCAAGCTATTCCAGACTACAGTTACTGTAACCTACACTGGGTGTCCTCTGCATAAGCACCAGTGTGACTTTGTGGACTGCTGAGACTCAGTCTGTTGCAACTGGCATAAGTTGCCACAGGCGAGTAATCACAAGAAACTGACCTTGGCAAAAGCACATTTTACACTTCACTGCTGTTCAACTGTGTTATACTAAAGAGAGAGCAAGTGAGCACAAGCAGAAGGGGGAGGGAGAGAGAACAAAGGGGGATAGAGAGCATAAAAGTGAACGCAGCCATTTTCAGCTTTACCTGCTTTTAAGATTTTAAGAGAGGTACATCATACCTCCAGTGCACATCACAACCTACACATGGTTACATTAATTCTGCATTGTAACATTTTCAAACCATCAGGGCCTGAGGAGATTTTTTTTGGGGGGGAGGATAAAGAAAAGAGACTAAGTACTAAATTAGAAGTTAATATCTAAAAAAAAAATCTCCCAACAAGGAGGAGGGAAGTATAGAAGACAATTACAACTTCACATTTTCCTACCACTGGATTAATGCATAAATGAGGCTTTTTAAATTGATCTCTGCTCCTGTTTGGCTACACCTGTTGAGAGTACATTTTTGAATCAGCTGCACCTAATAAAGCCTAAATGTATTACATGAGGTGTGCAGCAAGATGTAGTAGTCCTAATTTTTAGTATTTCAGCTCAACCTTAAGTTCAGCTCTCAACAGCTCAGCAGCAATTTGCAGGAACTAGTATGGTAAAATCCCCACTGCTGCACATACAGCCGCGTCTGGCTTTTCTCAACCATCTTTGGTCTCCGATGAGTTTGAATCAGTTATTTCCTGTAAGATAATTTTCTTCGTTTCTGCATTACTTTTCTTTGGTATTGATTACTTCATCTCCAAAGAAACAGGACCTGGCAGAGCAAGATGGCACGGGATCCCATCATTAGTGCTATCCCACATCCTGCCCAAATTTTACAGCAAGTTTAACACAAGGATCTAACCTTGAGGGTATGCTGGGTTTCCAGGACATTCGCTGGTTGAAGCAAAATATGCAGAAGCTTTGTACGAGTTCCAAAATACAGAATCACTCTCCACTTGGGAAGTGTACAAGGTATGCAAGTCTAGACAAAATAAAATGAGACCACATGCATTTTGTATCTGCTTCCTTACCACTCTTAGGTCAGTGACCTAAGGACTTGATGCAGTTTCTCTTCCAGATCTTGAAGTCTGCTTTTCTCCTGTGTAGACAAATAGTTTCTCAATTCCTCATCTGGTTCCATAAATAAAACTCAAAACCCTGCAACAAAAGCCAGCCTTTGTTCCTCTCAAACATGCAAACACTCCACATGTCTGTCTTCACAAAGTCTCCATTCCTCTATTAAAACCCCTCGTCCTCTGTCTCAGTCCTCTAAATGTCATTTCTACCAGTAAGCAGAAGTGGCTTTTTTTGGACACAGCCATGTTGCTACCTTGAACCATTCCCTTCTGACAGAGTCTTGTCACGGTATTAATGACCTCCCCTGTCACTGGCCAGGGAGATCCAAGACTCAGCCCTGACAGCAGATGGCTGATTCACACACACACTGACGCTCCGCGACTCAACAATGATATGATCACGCTTAGCCTATAAATTATGAAAACAGCAATTCTATGAAGCATGACCTAAAATTTCAAGGGACTGAAGTATTTCCAAGTCTGAACTTCAGATCTGGGTCAAAAAGGTGTCAGCTGTGGATCTGCAGAATTTTAATCATCTCATCAGACTGTAGCTCTCCCTCCCACAACACACGATGTTTGCAAGGCCCACGGGCATGCCTCCTAACACTGAGGCAGGACGGTCACAGAGGGCTGGATGGGCCACAAAAATACTCACTGCTTCTGTGAAGCGTGTGAGAAACTCTTGTAGGGTCTAGACAGAGAGTAAATTGATGTCTGTCACATTTTTCTGACTGCACTTGGTCACAAAATAGACTTACTAAAATTTTTATTTACTAAGTCCTATAGTAATTAGTAGCAGATAGAAAAAGATAAAATGGAAAGGGCACAGTAGTTCTGCAACAATTTCTGTGGGCCCTCAGGCTCGGTTACCTATGGTCGGCATTTCTCACAATGACACACAGCAAAAGAAAGAAAAGGGTGACAAAAAAATATACCTGAAGGGTACTCTTATCCACAGGAAGAGCAAATCTTTGTTTATACTAGGCCAAAAGTAAGCAGATATTTATATTACACAAGAGCACCCTCAGCTGAATGTAAGGATTTGACATCTCTTACTTCTTCAATGCATATCCCAAACAACAGGTTATTGAATTAGTCTCTCTCTTTGCAGCTCCCTGTGGGTCTCCCAAACCACATCATATTTTAAATGCATGCACCAAGCAGTACTGCTTGAGTCATTTGACTTTGTAGTTCACTAGGTAGGATCTCATTTTCAAGTAAGTTTACTCATTAGGCAGAACAGAAACATTAACTGGGTCATTCATAATGCTGGCTACTGTGGGCATCTCTCTTCTCTTTCTTCTTCCTTCCCCATCTCTTTCATATAAGAGAATTACTTGAAACCAGTACATTTCCACGAAATATACAAGGGCTGACAAATCAAAATCTTTTGACATCTAAAAATTACTAGGAAGGTTTAGTTATAGAAATATATACATGGATATGTATCTATACAAAGTATCCAAAGACAATGATCCTGTGGGAAATGTGGTTGAAATGTTACTAGAATGGGATTCATTTGACCAAAGTATTATTCTACTGGAAAAAGATTAGTTTGTTTGAATTACATTTACCTTTCTTGAAGTGTTCTAGAAAGAAGTCTTGTTTAGTTCAAACTCATCCAATACAACATAAGGATATCCTTGAAGTTCAGAGAGTCAGGAGAGTCTTGCTTTTCCTTCTAGTTGTGAATATCGAGTGTGATCTACAAGAAAAAGAAAGTGGGGGTAAAAATGTTTGGCAAGCAATCCTTTACCTTTTCAATGGGTCAGTATTTTCAAAATCCTTACAGAAAATGGCCCTGACTCCAGATGTTCAGTCAGCCAATCAATCAGTCAAACAATTGCTACTTGGTTTCCAGAAAGAATTCAAAGATTTATTTTTCCATTCAAATATTCTATCTCTCTCCCTCTACACTGTCTTAAAAGAAGATACTAGAGTGGAAGATGTGATTTCCACTCCTTATTAAAAAAGAAAGAAAAAAACTAAAAAAAAAAAAAAAATTGCAATGTACAGTTTGCATTTTCTGTGATAAACTTAAATTTAATGTCAGGGAATTTATAACTTTATGTTAGAACCTACAGAAGAGAAAGGCTACAGTTTCTCTGATGTGAAGTGCTAATACACTTCACAAAGCCAGAAGCAACTCCTGAAACAGAACTGAAACCATGAAAAACATAAAATACCCTTTTCTCCTACTAGACATTTCAATTAATCAACAGCTATTAATTCAACTAGTGAATAAGTTAAACTCAGCAGCTTTGTTGAATAAGCATGGTTTATTCTGGAAACAGCTGTGAAAAGTTCACAAAATTTTATTCTTTGCACTGTCCTGCTATGTCTGGAGTTTCCAGTTTTCTAGGGAACATCACTTTTTCTGGACAGCATGTGGAGCCCATAATTTTGCAGATACTCTTTGGTATAGTATCAGCTCAGTCCTTCTAGTTCTTTCAGTAACAGGAAGCAAACTCACAAAAGCTTTGCCTCAGATTTCACAGGCATGTGTGTGCCTCTCTCTCAGTACCCAGGCCGACGTGCCAATATGTAGGATTAAACTTTTTCCAAGGTTGAATAAGCCACCATCTGTCTATCTTGTGTGGTGCTGTGCGCCATCCGGGAGACTTGTCCCTTAGAGCATGTTTCTACCATATGTCACTCCTGAGTGATCAGTTATGCCAAGACATTTGGGAAAAAATGACTAAGTCGAGCTGGAAAACCCTTTCCGAATTCCAGAGGAGGTGTGCCAAGCCTGTATTTGCAAATAACTTTGCATCCACTGGTTTTTGCATATATTGTGTGTAACAATAAATAATAACTTTTACCCAAACAGACATGAGGTGCCTGCCCTCCACTGTCCACAACTCAGAGACTTTTTAATAAGCCAAGGGATTCAAGTATGACGCATCTCCAGGAAAAATACACAAAACTTTTACAGCGACTTTTACGATTGCTAAAATAAAGGAAAAAAAAAAAACAAACCCAGATGATAAGAATATATTTCCAGAAAGACTCGGCTTGTTATTTTAAAGCCACAACAAACCAGTAATTTCTTTCAGAATACTCAACTGAAAATACCTAAGGCAACTGAATGCAAGGCTTTTTCCTAATAGTAACCATCTAACAATGACCATCTAAAGTGTTCACCTGCATGCAAAGTGTTCACCTAAGCTGTTAAACTGCTGATACAGTTCATGCAATTAGAATTTGTCTAATAAAATGGTTCTTTAAATCTAAAATAGGATAGAGTCATATTCTATCCTATTTTAGATTTAAAGAACCATTTTATGTTCCAATTCCTCAATTATTGAATTAAAACTCAAGCTAGCATCATTCTTATGGCCAGCTCAAGGCTGCTCATTTACATAACTGACTTTCAAGGGCACTTCATTACACAGCAATTAATATCAGCAAAAAATCTACCAGATCTGCTACCTAATGGTAAGGAAGACATTCCTGAGAACATTAAAAGAAGAGAGAAATTAGTAAATCGTGATTACAGCCTCCCTGAGTAAGATTAACATTGAAAGGAAATATACTCCTAAGGGCAACAGGAGAAATATTAAATATGAGAAGACAAATTATAGGAATTATTACATTTAGTGACAAAAGTGAGATGAGGAGCAGTACTAAAGTCCAAGAGAGAACATCGACCTTTGTGTCTGGCCTTCAGAATTTGGACAATTATTGAAAAAGAGGGAAGACATGAAACAAGGATTCACTACAGCCCACTGAGATTTGTAGAACAAAATGCAACAAAAAGCAGAAAAAGCTCATGTTAGACAAAGAAAACCACTACTGAAAAAGGGTTATTATTAAAGGAAAATTAGGGAAATTATCACCTCAGAATGGATTATGAGTCCTTTTTTTTTAATGTATCTAATTTAAACTGTCTCCTCAGGCACAAAGAGTGCAACTTGCAAAGGTGAGGATGTTGGTAACAAATTAGACTAACAAGGAAAGAAAACCTCCTACTGGAACATGGACTTGCTGAATGGAAAGAAGAGAGGAAAATAAATATAGATCAGCTAGGCAAATCTGGACTACTTGCCTACATAACACACCTAATGATATTGAAGCCAGCATATTTTTTGAAAGGCTCAGCTCCTTCCTGGCCCACTCCAACAGCCTGAGGCATTCACACTGTTGAGCCAAGAGAGACTGGAGAGGCTGGTTCTACAGCACCAACTTTCTGCTAACTTCTTATTCCAACAAGAAACCTTTAGGGTAAACGTGCACCTGCTCTAATGTCCTCCTTGCTTCTTGCATCCACCTACAGGCCCAAATAACCTTCCCTTCAGGATGAAATATGATTTGCCCATAAGACTGACCAACTCAGGAGGTTGCAAATGGGGACAAGAGGGAAGGAGGGAAATTCTTCAAAGATGCCAATTAAGAAAATTCTTATTCTGGGTAAGAATTTGCACTATGAAGCTGATCAACAGCTTCTACACAGAAGGAGCAGCCATGCAGCTTCTGCACTGTCATCTCTTGCCAGAACTCCAGCAGAAACAAGAGTTTCTCTTACAACAAGCATTGTGGAGACCGACACATATTGTCAGTAAGGAAAAACTACGGAGCAACATGAAGGGAGAAAACATTGAAACACGGACAAAGATTAAATTTTTTCTTTCCCTTTATTTTCAGCCTAGGGAGGCTCAGGATCTGTCATCCATTTGTTCCACGCCAGTGCAGACATCCAAACAGGAATCTTATCACTATTTGGAAACATGATGCTCTTTAATTTGGTTTAATCCTAGGAGTTCCTTGGAAATTCTTGGCACACACAGGCTGTTTTCTTTTGTGTTCCACTTCAAGGATGAACTAAGACTCAACACTTTCTGTTGTTCTCACAAACTTTTTAGGGAACTCTCAAGTCTCCTGGAATTCAAAAGCTCAGGATTCCAATAATCACATGCAAACCCATTCCTCTAGGAATAAATTCAATCTGTGGCACAACTAAATGTTTCTGTTCCATAAATGCAAAACTTAACTGAAACATCTGCTGATAAATACAAGACTGTGACACCTCAAAGGCAGAAACAGTGAAATTTATTTCCACAGGAAACCTCATTAAGAGGGTATAACTACAGAGATGGTGTTTAAAAATCAAGAAGGGCTCTTCAAGCATAAAGCCAAACCTAAAGAGCTATGTCCTCTGAGCCACCCATCTGCAGGATATTTCATAAATTCCCACAATCATTCATCATAATTCATTCCCCAGTGGAGACTCTGGGCCCTGCTTGGCAAGACTATTTTATTTCAGTGACCATGATGTAAGGGAGAAAATACAGGTTGATGGGAAGCTATGAGATGTCACTAAAAACTGCCAAGCAACCAGTCCCTTAATATAAAATATAAATATAAAAAATCTTGTTTTTCAAAAATGTTAATGCAATATTAAAACAATACACAGTCTCTTTTCTTATGAATAATCAGTACTCATGAAGTAACTCGAACAAAGGCAATCTCTACATGCCATGTGAAAGTAGCTTGGAGTTACCTTTGCTAGGAGTGCAAAAGGAGGGATTGTTGATGCAGGGAGAAGTCTTGCTTTTTCCAATCACAGAGATAAAGCAGTTTTCCTCACGTAGCTCTCCTCCTTCCTCACTTCCCCCCTCCTCCACACAGAACCCAAGAAAAGCTGCCATTGCTTTAGGTCAAAGGAAAAACAGGCCCAGCTGCCATAAGCCAAACAACGTACAGGTTTGCTATCTCCCCTGCTGTTTTGGCTCGAGCTCTTCAGACTGGAAAATTCACAAGCACGATCTCCCAAGCTCTATAAATGCCAGAACCATCTAAGAGGAAAATAGGACAAGGCCACCCCCAGGCAAGTTTGTACTAAAATCTGCTGGCTGCAAGGCAAAAATACAGTAAACATCGCATAGGGACAGACTGCTCCTCAGAAAATATTCCACAAGAACAATATAGCTTCCAAAGAAAGGCTGCGCTAAGGGGACTTCTGGAGGGGAAAAAAATGCAATGTTTTAAAATCCTTGTGAGGAGTTAGCAAGCTAATGGCACACTCAACGACAAATTGTTTGACAGGCAATATGCTTTTGACATTAATCCAAAGAAGAAATGTAAAAGCGACATTGAATGTTCTCTACAAAGTGGTAACAAATTCGGGATCCTAGAATAGTTCTGCAGTTCACTAAGGAAATTTTGCTTTTGTCTTAACAATTGATTACATGGAATAAAACAAGTAGTAACAAGCAATTAATTATCAATATCATCACCCTGTCTTTTTCAGGAAGAACAATTTAAGTTAAATTTTTGCAGTCCTTGAGAGATGAACTTTGTAACTGATTACAGTATGTTTTAACGTGCTCTATACTGACTCAACCTTGAAAAACAAACCAAAAACAGAAGTTGAAACATCCTTTTTCCTGTGTAGCTCCAATTTGCAGTAGCAAGAAGCTAAACAACATGCTCTCCACCAGATGGCTGAAATAAAAAGAACACTCCTTCTGATTAATTAGGAAACAAATGAATCTGCTGTTAGCACAACAAGTTACCATCAGGAAACCTGGGTTCCCATTAAACTTTGATATTTGTGATTTCTCTGCAACTGTGTTCAAGACCATCCTCAGATTTGTCTCTCATTTCAGAAGCAAAATGTTATACACCAGTCCATCACACACAAGTACGACACCAGCCACTGCATAACCAAAAGGGGTACTGGCCCTTTTCACAGACTAATAACACATAGTTTTCCTAAAAGAGAAGGCATCTATCACAGTAGAAACAAATTAAGGTCTCCTAGTGCTGTGAGGAGAATGGATGGGTAAAACCACACATCCCTTGTCAAGGTTCAGTGAGCAGTGGAGGCTCATGCATGCACACCCAAGCTCTCCAGCTGGTCCTGGAAACAGAAATCCCCAGAGCAGATACAGGACAAGGAGCAAGGATGTGACAGCCCAAGCAGCAGAGGCCAGCCCATGGTTCTCTGCCAAGGGAGTCTGTGAGCATCTCAAGTGAAGGTTCAGGATACAGTGCAGGCACTGGGCATGGAGGGGGGTGACAGCATAAAGCCCATGGAACTTGCACAGAAGATGTGCGAGTGCATGCGCTTAGAACATGAATATAATGTTTGGAGCTACTGAGGTGAGAGACTTTGGGAAGAAGGAAATTGAGCCAGAAAGGTACAGACAAAAGCTCTTGCTATTGTCATTATTCCTCTGGTTTCTTTGCATGAAGATCTGCTTTATTGCACCAAACCTTAAAGAAGAACCATTTCAGAAGCTGGCTATGGGAAAGAACCACCATGTTTTAGGTATAAAAGACAATTTTGCCTTCTTTACTGATAACATGTTTGCCTAAAGAGGCACAATGTCTTACTGAGAATCCAGGATTGCCAACTAACCCACACCTCTATAAATGAACTATTTCTCCTTTATGAACAACTGAAGTTCTCAAACATGTTGAGTATTATTTTCTAAGGCCAAAGGGAATGGTGGAGATATTTATAACAAACTAAACCTAAGTCTCATTTTTAAAATCCAAGTAAAGGTACTATATCCTATTAAGTAACTGAGAAAGCTCAGGGACTTGAATAAGAAAACCCAAATACACTTACCCACACATTAAAAAACGGTTTCAATAATTTTATATACATAAGAAGGCCATTCAGTTACGCTAAATGACTGTATCTCATTTTTCCCCATAGACTGGTGATAGTTAGGTACTCTGGGAGATACAAGGATACACAAAAATGCAAAAGAGCATAGAAGACACTAATATTTCAAAGTGCACCTATCCATTACATCATACATATAGTTACAGGGGAAAAAAATTACTATTTTTGGAACCTTTACAGTCAGAAAATGGACCCATGTAAAATTTCAGCAAATACAAATATTCTTTTTGCACAGTGTTTTTAGAAGACCCATTCCTCTTCTGTTTGCTTATGCTTTACTTGATGCCTCCTCTAAGACTTGTGTTGGAAGACAGTGAACAATCAAACCTGTGTACCCTCTCCCCACCACTCACAACAATGAAGACCTCAAGAGTATCTTCCAATGTTTCTTCTTCTCAGGATTCTCTGTTTCCTGTGGACATAAGCCTTTCCACATCTCTTAAAAATGCTGCTTTTTCCAAAATTTTCTCATCCTGTTCATAAATGTATAAAGTGGCAAAAAGGATGCCATCTTTTTAATTCTCTATTCCTTTATTAATATTTCCTAGTCTTTGATTTGCTTTTCTGATCAGTGTAGCATAGTGAGCTCCTGTATAACCTGGTGACTGACTCACACACAGTAGCAGCTCAGAACTCACCATTTTTTAGTGGAATTAGCGTTATTTTTTTCCCTAAGTAGACCACTTTAGCGACAGTGAATTTTACCTACCTTACAACTACGAGCAGGTTACTATCATCAGCACACTTTTTCACTTCGTCAACAAGCTCCTTTCCAGTGTACAATTTATGAATTGAATGCATCAACCAGTCCAACTACTCTGGTGACAGATAACCACTTATTCCTACCTGATTCCTCCCATCTTCTACCCACATATTAGTCCATGACATGACCCTCCTTTATGCTCTGCTGCTGGCTTCTGTCTGGCACGAAACTGTCATTCCGATTGGGAACGGCTAGAAAGAACGACACCCTCTCTTGCAAGAGGAAACAAGAGGACAGATAAACAACACCTGGCAGTTGTTTTCTGTCTCTGAGGATTGTTTTGAAATCCTCCTATGAAGTTCTCAGGCTAGCTTCTCAGGCAGGACTGAGAAGCCATGGGCCTGCAGTCTCTGCAGCTCCCTGCAGCCTGTTCCAAATCTAGCATCCATACGAAACATTGTCAAATACCAGATCAAATACCAAATGCCATCATGATCTTTCTTATTCACCTACATATTCACTCCCTCAGAGGGCTTCAGGTACTTTGAAAGGTGGTATTCCCCTTTGCAAAAGAAAAGTTGACTCTTCCCACAGAGCTTGTATTCATCTTGGTAACATGTCTGTAATACTGTATTATGAAGTAAATAGTATCCTTGTTTATTCTACATTCTAAGTTCCACAGCTTTGCAGACAAGATGTAGGGGAACAAAGTAATGTCATTTTCTGCCTTTTGATTAAAAATAATCCATAAGCATTTGCATATTTTGAGCCCAAATGTCCAGGGAATTTAAAGTAACACCTGTCTCCTTTATATATGGCTATAACTAAGAAGTGGCACAAGCACAACAGCAATTTCTCTTCTTGTAACTCCTCTATGAAGACAAGACTTTATTCAATCTTCTAACAATTTTTAACCTGAGGATCAAAAAGAAAGTAAAAAAACCAACTAAAAAAATATAAATATTTTCCTGCAGCCTGAAAGATGTGTAGGACTGCCAGCAATCACATAGCAACAGAAAATTTTCTGAGTCAGCAAGTCACAGCTTCTCCCAAGTTTTCTCCTTGATCTTAAGCAAATTGCTACTATTCTTTACTAGATTAATTGACTAATACTCATCCCCCCAGTGGCCCATTTCTGCTGACTATTAAGTTAATGGTGCAGGGAATAATGTCTTTCCAGCCTCCTAACCTGGCTGTTTCTACTAGCCTACCACAAAGGGCATGGGTACACTCACCTGAATTCTGAAAAGATATGATAATGATTTGCAGGAGTTAGCCATGGGAAACTGATTCCACTTACTCCCATGTGTTCCTGCATTAACAGTAGCCACAGCCCAACGCTTAAATTATTGTCTGAAACCTGCAATGACTCCTCTCATAAAAATTCCCTCCTAACATTAATCCCAGCACTATTTGTGACACCCTCAGCTTCTTTGGTGTCACCAATTCCAGACCCTTTGTACCTGGCTCATTAGTGTGACAAGTGGCCAGAAGCTTTGAAGAGCACAAAACACAACATGGGCGCTGACACCCTCAATTTACATTACACCTCACACCAAATAACTATGTTGTCATCAAGTTAAAAAGACCAAGAAAACAGCACAATGGAAAATTTCAACAAAGTGTGGCTTCATCATTAAAATTTCTATTTGAGCTTTTTTGGTTGGTTTCATTATACAGAGAGGCAGAGAGCTCTGTAAACAGATTTGCTTAGTTTCCGTGTCTGTTGCCAAATTTCCATCCTGTGGAACCAATTTTAAATAGAAAAAAAGTGTCTCTTCCCATCCTCTGCTCCTTGGTGTCATTCTTATTAAGGATACAGAGTAAAAAATGAATGGAAATGAACTAGTCACAGTAGGATTCAAATCCAAATGTTAACTTTTTTAATTGCCAAAAAAAATTCGGATCACTTTGATCCATAAGTCTGTCTCTCTTGCAGCTATGGAAAGTTTTTAAACGGAAGGCTGCCAACAATGACTTTGTTATAAACTAGAGTTCACAGTTATTTTTATGGAATTTTGTCTCAGTAACTTTTAGCTCAGCAGTTCTCATGAAAATATTTCCAAACCACCAACTTGGCTAAATATTTCCAGTAAAGCAAAATAATCCCTAACTCCTAAATACAACTCTACTTCTTTTTATAACTTCACTTTATCCTTCAGAAAACTAGTACAACTTTAAACATGGGAATGACAGAGAGAGGAGAAAGGAGACAAAAAAAATCGAAGAACTTCAAGCAGCCCCTCATATCTCTAGGTCACAGCAGATGCAGGACTGGAAACGGAAATGAGATTTGGGAAATAATCCCTCGCATGTACACAGGTATTAATAGCAATAATGAATAAAACCAGAATGAACACTGCAATTTTAAACAGTGCAGTACTTGCTTAGCAGAAAGTTCTCAAACAGATTCAGCCATTGTTAGCCCATGCTCACCGCCAGAATTTCCACACTAACATAAAGATCATAAATGGGAAAGAAAATCTGATGGGCTTTGTATTACCATTTTGTTCAGCTCTTTCGAGGAGGGAGTGTAAAGGAATCATTTATTATAACCCTTTTCGTATCCGTCAGATGTTGCATGTTTTATGTAACTATAACGCATTTGGCAAACTCTTCCTACCTAACCATATGCTAGGGAAAAGCTCAAACTGTGCAAAAGAAACCTTTCTTCACAAAGTAAATTTTCTCGTAAAGAGGAACTGCGAGTTGGAGCTAGGGCTCCAAGATCCCTCTCAAGGCCCTCCTCTCTCCACAAGGACTGATACTTCCACACAACCTAGAACTGAGGTATCTGGCTCCCTGGGAAGCAGAACTATCCATCCTGTGCTCTACACATGCCAAAACAGCAGTTGCACTGGATCATTCCACACACAGATGCAGACACAACACAGATGCAGTACAACCAAGGCGAGCCCTCACCCGTGCCCCTACAATGGCTCTTTCAGAATCCAAGTGCCAGATGTGTTGGCCAGTGCCTTCCATTGCCAGCGACCAGGCCCATTCCCCAAAGCAGAATAAAGGGAGCCTGACATCCACGACTCCACCACAGGCTCCAGGGCAGCCAGCTGGGCATGAGAGTTGACCCCCAGGGGCCAGTCCAGGTGGGATGCACTGTTCTGCATCCAACAACCCTTGGTCTTTCACCTCAAGCACAAGAAGCCCTTACCTCTGATCTCAAACTCAAACCTCATTTGCAATATGAATGAGACCAAAATTTGCAAGCTCCATGGATAGCCCTGAAACTTGTATCTTCCAGCTTTTCCCTACAGTACATAGGGAAAATGGCAGCAGCTTTGATGAGTGGGAGCTGACACCAGAACACCCCAGCAGAGGAAGGAGAGGAGCGTATGGAGAACACGTAGGAAGCTATGGAGAAACAGAAAAGGGTACGCCACAAAGTGCTTACAGCACAACTTGAGAGAAAAACAAACAATGAATGTTTGAAATCCTCAAACAATGGAGCTAAAAAAGAAAGGGCAGTGAGGAAGAAGATGATGAGAAAAGTCCAGGTGCAGAAGAATGGGGGAGGCTGTTCCAGGCAGCCAAAATTTTCAGGGATTTTCCTTCTTGGGTCATTCTTAAAACACATTTCAAATTAAGAATTTTAGAAACACATTTGCAGAGCAAACTGGTAATGCATTTCACTCACCAGAGTTTTCACCTGCAATTTATCTATGCAATTTTAAAATGTTTTCAACTAAAAACATTTGCTAATTAAATACTTCACATAAATGTCAAGCAGTTGTGTTATCTTGGCAAATAGGTGAACAAAAAGAAATCTCACTATAAGATTCACATTTTTTACTAGGTTCTACAGTAAGACGAAGCAGAAAACACCCTTTTGCCCTCAAACTTGTGTGGGACTTTTCAAACTGCAGATAGACCAATTACTTTACCAGCAGGATCATGCAGTCAAGTTTTGTTGCTGGCTTTCTTTGTAAAGCTGCTTCACTACATTTAGACCCTTGAGTTGCAGAAAAAATGTCTGTAGGCATATAGGCAACATGAGAGACCTGCAGGACAGTTGTCCTGACTGAATAGGCTTTGACCAGTCTTATGAGTGCTTTACATTTTCACTGCAAAGAAAATGGGAAGCAAATCCTTGTACCACCCGTCTGGCCCACCTAAATGTAGCTGCAGCACTAGATTGAAACTGATGGGCAAAAGCAATCTTCTGTGGACAGGAAAGGCAGAAATGCATTAATTTGTCAACTGTAACTGTAACTGCCTATTACCTTGAAGTTTTGCCTGTTATTTCTGACAGGGTACCAAGGCACTGGATATTAACATTTAGAAACCAAACCAGGTAGACAAGCTCACAGGAAGGAAGATTAGGTTTTCTGAGTGCTAGCTGATGTCATAATAAGTAAGAAGCACAGGTTTTATTTTATAAAATGTAAATATATGTATTAAATTGTTTCAAACAGCTAATAGATACCTCCAGAAGCAGAGTGGTTTATACACCTGAAAATTATGGAAATTAATAGGCATTTCTGGATATCAATTTTCTAAGATTCCTTTTTTTGGCCCAGTGCTCTACAAACAGAATGCACATTGATAGAAATGCACAGATGGCCTAAAATACCCCTGCTTCACAAATATACTAGTACACTAGATGGATTACATAAAATTCTCAAACTTTCTAGATCTCTCAAGTACACTGTGTGTATTATGCTTGCTTAGAATAGTGATAAAGCAACTAGTAATTCCAATGTTGTCTTATACATGCACAGAAAACAAATGTATCAATTCACCACCAATTTTCAAACAGACAACTAATTAATCCTTGCTGAAGTAAGCACAAAGAATATAAATTAAGGTCTCTTTACACATACACTGAATCTCTTCTCAAACCGCTTCACGATCCTGTTCCAAATTAGGCTTAAAGCGACTGATTTTTCTACAGTCTGTATTGGGTTTCTGTGGCAAGATTTTGGTAGCAGAGGGGCTAGAGGGGTGGTTTCTCTGAGAAGCTGCCAGAAGCTTCCCCTGTGTCTGACAGAGCCAATGCCAGCTGGCTCCAAGACAGAGCCACCACTGGCCAAGGCCGGGTCTATCAGTGATGGTGTAGCACCTTGCAATAGTGTATTAAAGAAAGGGAAAACTGTGCGATCTCAGCCAGAGGGAGGAGTGAGGAGATGTGAGAGAAGCATCCCTGCAGACACTGAGGTCAGTGAAGAAGGAGGGGCAGGAGGTCCTCCAGACACAGGAGCTGAGACAACCCAGCATCCTGTGGTGCAGGCCATGGTGAGGTAGCTGTGTCCCTCAGCCCATGGAGGTCCACCATGGAGCAAGAGCTGCCTGCAGCCCATGGTGGAACCTCAGCCCAGAGCAGATGGATGCCCAAAAGAAGAAAGGAAGCTGTGGGAAGCCCACTCTGAAGTAGGCTCCTGGCAGGACCTATGGATGCACAAACAGAGGAACCTAAACTGGAGGAGCAGGAGAAGAGTGTGAGGAGTCCTTCATCTGAGAAGAAAGAAGCAGCAGAAACAACATGTGATGGATGGACCACAACCCCCATTCCCTCTTCTCCTGTGCCACTGAGGAGAAGGAGATAGAGAATACAGGAGTGAA